TATTTATTTAGCACCAAATCACAACAGCATTCTCCTCAAGGTGCCTTTTATTGTAAGGTAAAGACCCAGCAATCAAACACTTAGAGACCGTGGGAAGGGAAAAACACCTTTTAATAGGAAGAAACCTGAAGCAGAATAATAATAAATGTGCTACATTTATTTTAATTTACAATCAGGATTTATAACAAATTTTTATCTTTAAATGATTAAGCTTTATCAAAACTTTATTCAGTGCACACCTTTTGTCACTGTTTGAGAACCACTGTGCTGGAAAGGTGTCATATATTTGTTGCTATTTGCTACATAACCTAAAGGTGCCCTGTGGAGGTTTCTGGCAAACAAACTGTTTACATTCGGTGTTGCTCACCAGCATGAAGTGTGTGTGTGCGTGTGTATATATATCTGTCAGACAGGTTGGAAACAACTGCAAGCCACATTTGAAAAGTTATAAACCGAGTCTGTGTACTTCTCTATTGGTTTAGATTTCCTGCTTTGTTTAGGTTTTTCTTTTGTGGCAAACTAATGCTAGTAAAGCCTGACGTAAAACAACTACTGAGTAGTATTTAAAACTCCACACGGTATCTTTAAGTGCATGGCTGAAAAACGTTAGTCACAATAGCTGGGGATATTTTAATAGCAGGGTGGAAGAAGTAATTACAGTTACTGTCAACTTCAATTCTGTTGCAAACAGCACCTTAGCAAAATTTCCCATTTCAAGAGTCACCTGTAAAAGTAACATCCAAACACATTCATTGTGCTAAATGCGATTTTACACACCTGACTGTAGTTTCAGCCCTTTGCTCGGGATGCAAAAACGTCTAAAAATTGTACTTGAAAGCTCAATTGCTGGCGACTCCCACAACAACGACAAAGGAGACTTGAGAGAAGCTTCTTCCTCCCATGCGGAAGTAGATCCTGGTGAACATTGAAATTGGATTTACGTACCATATGGAAACTGACATGTAAAACAGAGTTTGCATCACCTTGAAATGCAAAAGAAGCTTTCTGCATCAAACGGATATGCAACAGAAGCAAACAGATTGTGTTATATAACAGTGATGTGTTGCTTCAAATATTAGCAAATAATAATAATAATGATAATAATGGATTGCATTTATATAGCGCTTTTCGGGGCCCTCAAAGCGCTGTACAATCCCACTATTCATTCACTCTCACATTCACACATTGGTGGAGGCAAGCTACAGTTGTAGCCACAGCTGCCCTGGGGCAGACTGACAGAAGCAATGCTTCCATATTGCGCCATCGGCCCCTCTGGCCAAATGACATAAAAACTAGCAATTGTGCACCATGTGAAATATTCAGTAAGTATTTGTTTACTTTGATAGTTAGCTGCAGCTTTAAGAAACAGACCTAATAATAGTGGAAAGCTGTTAATCATCATCTCTTGCTTGGAAAAAGCTCAAAAAATTAAATTTGAGTGCATACAAACAGGAACGCAATGTATACTTTAACAGACACATTCCAGAGACCCGCCCATGCATTCACAACATAAAATGAAAAGGCCCCCGCTTCAAGGACAATGGCTTTATTAATACACGACGAACCATCTGCATATTCGCACAGCCTAACCTTCACAAATCGTATTTGTGCAGTAAACAACACCCCTGTTTGACTCAAGGGGGAAAAAGATGGGGCCCTGAGATTTACAGTGATGCACATAGAAAGCAGCAAAGTGCAATCTTTAATTAAAGCAGTTGGAGCGAAACTTCACATGCAAATAGTCTTTTTTTTCCCTCCTGAAAGCTGTTAGTACTTTTAACCATTTGGATACATTCTTGCACAGCAAAGAATGCTAAGGAAGACATGGAGGGAGATGGGGTGGTGGGGGTGGTAATAAATTTAGCAGAATACATTTGAATGAGTTAAAAGGATTGCAGCAGAAAACAGTGCAATAAAAGTTTAATAAGGGGCTGGGGAAGAGCTAAGCAAAGTTGGCAAGAAAATACCATTTCAGCTGATTAAGGGAAATACTGCAGTGTTCAATCACAGAGTACAGTGATGAGTAATTCTCCCTAAAGCTTGAAACCCGGGCATTACATAACCGTGTATCATGTAGCTGCCGTGCTTATAATGAATCTCTGACTTAACATATTACCTTTATTTATTTTTATGACTGCTGCTGCTTTATGACAAAGGTGAAAGGCACACTTAACATTTCTATTTCAGTTTCTAACTTCCCCAGTTTGAGACAAGGAAATCATCAGCGGTGCAACAGGAAGAGCGGTGGCCTTTGTAATCGGTTGTCTCCCTTCCTGTGTGAGTGTGTGTCTTTGCGTGCATTTCAGCACAGGGGGAGTGCATGACCTTTTGGGAACCATTGAAACTCTCTCAGTCAGCTGTTGGCAGATGTCCTGACCAGTGACCTCCATTCACTGTGGGAGGTGGGGGTTTTGACATCAGGGAGCAATAGCTGATAAGACGAGGTTAGAGCTGAGTACTGGAGCCACTTGCCTCCCTCGGTTGAGCTGGAGCAGTGCCGAGGCCCAGATCTCCGTCCAGCAGGTCCTCTTGGTGCTCGGATGCAGAATCGCTTTCGGACGATCCCTGCTGGCTCTCCGTTTCACCCAAATCCAGGGTGTTTTTTCCTGCTTCTATCTCACACAGCTCTTCTTCTTCATCCTGAATTGCAAGTGGCAAATAACTAATATGTTTCTCAATATTTCGGGCATGTTGTAAACACAGAAAAAAAGTCTTACCTCCTGCACATGGGGGCTACTGAAGACTCTGGCAAATACACCACAACACTGTGGCAGTGACTCAGTCAGCGGGGGGCCACAATGAGTCAGCATTGGCTTTAGATATCTGTGACATTGTTAAAGGACTGTTCAAAACGTGTGTACGTGTCAGTGACTGTAAACAGGAGATAAGGTGAAATGGTTGGTTGTAGTCTAGCCTGTCCTCCAGCTCCACAGTCACAGTAATAGCTAACAGCACTAAAGCACATATCAGATTTATATATATATACATATATATATATATATATATATATATATATATATATGTATATTTTGAAAGAATGAGTAGGACAGTGACCAGGTACGATGTTTTACCTGTGCAGGATAAAAGGTCAGGGAATTTACATGTTACTGGTGTTACACTCCAGTAAAGAGTTAACTGGTATGGTCTGTTTTCTATTTTAGCAGTTGGTGCTCGAGGGAAAGCCCAACTCTTTGTTAGAAAGAAGTGGTTAAAGTGAATCATTGCAGTTTATCATAAACGTAATCACTGAGCGTGTGACTGCAAATTGTTTTAGATCAAAGCCATCAGACTTCCAGTTGTTTATATATGAAGACAGAAATGAGAGATGCAAATCTAAAAAAGTGTAATAAATCATAGTCCCCTTGTGCTCAAAGCAATAAAAAAAAAAAACATTATGAAAGTGTATTATTTCCCTTATGAGGTCACTGTCAGCTTACTGGCATTCAGTGCAGTTGGCCTTCCGTTTTGAAGATGGCACACTGCAGAGAGCTGGGATATTAGTCATTCAAGCTTTAGGTACTTGAGCTATTTTTGTTCCAGATTCTTATGCTGTTAGCATATTTAATATACATAGCTTTTGTCAGCTGAGTAGTTGTCTTAAGGAATAAAAGCTCCCATGCAACACAGAGAGATTTTCCAGGAGGGGATGTTGCATGAGAGCCAAAGTCGAGATAAAAATAATTTGCTCAAGAAAAAAAAAAGGAAAGGTAGCAAATGGGTCGTTATCTACTTTCAGCAAACTGGGTCAGCCTTGCATTTGATTGAAACTAGAGGCAAGGTCACGTATGCCTTATAAATGTGATAAAGTGCAGATATGTGCATTTTGATTTTTGATCAGCGTTGAGAGGAGACGGTGGAAGCGAAGCGGTGCAGGTGGCAGGTGGTTACTAAACAATAACAGTGGCATATTTATAAGCTCTGGTCTGAAAAGTGGAGGTGAGTATGTTTGTGACATTTCGGAGCCCCCTGCTAGCATCTGATTTATAATCACCTTTCTGCAACGGGTCATACTTTCCTCAATTTTTGCTTCAGAGGGGAAAAAAACAACAAAAAAACAGACAAATTCCTATTTTACCAGTGCCATCAGTGTCAACCTTTGTACCTCACTGCCTTTTATGAGTAATGTGGGACTAATGTGGCACACAACTGCACAGTCCTCTGGCATGCGAACAAAAGAACAAGGGTAAGTGGAAAATAATCTAATATGGAAATTGGTACCAGCTCTCGCCATTCGGGTTCTGTTGTTGAAAATGTGCAAGAGGTTGGAATTATAAGCACCATTCTGGCAGCTAACAGGATTTATACAT